TACTGCTAGGATGTGCAGATACGGGGTGGAATGAGCTTCTTCCAATATCTCGTTTCTTATACTTTCATCTATAGGTACACACAACCTTCCTCTAAAATTCAGGACGTTATTTATAGATACTTAAAACCCTATACGTTTGTTTGAACCAACATCAACCTTGATTTTCTGTAGGAATGTATCCTTATCTTGTGCTTTCTTGATTCAATCTCGAAGAGTAGATTGAATCATAAATGCTTTTACTCTTGCTATAGTCTGAGTTGGCGACGTGATGACTTCCAATCTTAGTTTCTCAAAGTCATTTATCAAGTGTTCCTGTACCGTGGATAAAACTACTAATTGCGATCATGTCTTCCTACTTAAGGCATCTACGACTACGTTTGTCTTACTTGGATAATAAAGAATTGTATAGTCGTAATATTTCACTAATAAAGCATAACATAGTTTTAAATTTATAACCCAATAAAACATGCCTTAAATTTGTAAATAAAAATCCGTAGGAAATAAAACTAAGAAATTGCTTAAATTAAAAAAAATGTCTTGTTACACTGAATTATTTTTATTGAGTTCCATAAATCTTGATATCATGATTGCAACTCATCGCCCGCCAACCAACGACTATTTCTAACCTATGAGGTATGGGGAAAAATGGGTGAGTATATGTAAATACTCAATAGGACACGAATTAATGGTGCAATCCCGAATAAAAATATTAAATCACGTGTCAAAAATATCATACTGTCATATCATATCTTTAGAAACCGATAAGAGCTCAAATATATCATATCTTTGGTACTGGATGACTATTACATATCATAACATAACATATTATGTCGTAGCTTTTATTAGCATAATATTTATCGATATGATAAATAAATTAAATGGGATAAATAACTTACACCTCGTAATCCTACCTTATTAGATAAAACAGTTTTTGAAAAGTAGAATTCAAATTCACGTTCCAAACTTTATTTTCTGCCCGTGTTGCTACTACCACCGGATATGTGTATCTATATTTTATTTTATTTTTAGGGTAAATAGAAAGAACTTTTGTATGATAATTAGAGTCGAAAGGGAAAAATGAATTCTTGTAGGTATTAAAATTGTCAATGGTCGTGTTTTGCCTAAATAAAAGTCTCAATCACAATATTCAATACAATCAAGAGTTAATTCTTCCCTCTCTAATCAAGTCATTTTCATCACATCCCAAAATCAAAGCAAATAAATTATTTGAAAACAAAACTACCTTACCTACCATTTAACCTACACTTGTCTAGTAACCCGCACAATTCAAAATAAGAAAGATAAAACACTGCATACACATTACATGTGGCAAAGCACACTTTCATTCAAGGTTTCAATTAAGCCCCCGTTTGTCTACCATTGTTTCAAAAAATTATTTGCTATATTAAGATTCTCTACTACATATTCACCCAATAAAATATTCTACACACAAACCAATAAAACCACTTTAAATCTTAACCACACATTCTCCAAAAAATACTATTCATTACTTTATTTTTCTCCCAATAATGGGAGAGAAATACACCCTAAATTGCAAAACTAATTTTCAATCAACTTTTTCAAACTAAAATATCTTGGAAATGACTTATCCGAACCAACTTTTTCTCTAGCCTGTTATACATGATTAATTACGAACTATCCAACGAGCCCAATATTGATATATTTATAATTACTCTATCAATATTTAAATATTTGACCCAAATAAAATATAATTAAATGAATGTATTTTTTTTTTTTTAGTTCCTAACCTCCAAAACATTAAAATATAGCATACAAANCTATCAAACGAGCCCAATATTGATATATTTATCATTATTCTATCAATATTTAAATATTTGACCTAAATAAAATTGAATTTGATAAATGTATCATTTTAGTCCTTCAACTTTTCCAAAATATAAAATATATAGCACATAAAATTATTATAGACCCTAATTTTTACACCCATTTTCTTTCTTATTTTTTTCTTTCTTCATTTCAACCATACATTCTATCAATAAAATAATACTCCACATAAACTCAAAAATTCTCATTATTTTTAACCACGCATTCTTCTATCAATCACTATTTTAAAATCTATTTTTTTCTCTAAAATTGGTGACAAACAGGGGCTAACCTAAGATTGTAATAATTGAGTTTTTTTTCTTTTCCTTTTTCACTTTTTTTATTACAAAAAAGTTACTTGTACAAAAAAAATTTGACAAAAAAATTGACACTCTCACATGATGCTGGCCCCACATGTATAAAAAATTGGAAAAAAAATGTGAGGCCCCCCCGATGTGAGGGGCCGGTCAGGGTGTTTGTCACCATGAAACATCACTTCTCTTTTTATTAAACTACTTGTACATACAAAGTGCACACCTTAGAGTGTGTTTAGTAGGGATTT